TAAGGCCCTGGGTTCAATGCCTAGCACTGCACAAATTAGGCAGGTGGTGTATATAAACCAAAACAATGAGCCACAACTAACCTGCCTGATGGAGAACAGGCCTCTTGTTGACACACGTGGCATACCTGGGCGGTGGAGGGGTTTCTAATTACCTGTTCTAGCTTCCAGAGAATGAGACAGAGACCTATAGATTTATTAACAAGTCTCAAGCACCATAACTGGGAGATACTGATCTATTGAAACCCTCTATGCTATGCTGGCTACTTCCCAGACGCATGCCCAGAGTTACTTGGCAAATTGGCCCTGCCTGGGCTGCTTCTGCTCCATCAGGTTAGTCCTCATCGCCATGTCCTTTCTCTACTTCTTCTTCCTTATTCTCCCTCCCTACCTTATAGTTCCTGACTGGCAACAGAAGTCCTGCCTCCTGTCCGCTCTCAGTCACAGGCTGAACAGTTTCTTTATTAACCAACCAGAGATTTGGGGGAGCATTCTTTATACAACACTGATACAGGAGATTTTTCAATAACCATTACAACGCCCATGTCTGAACTGTAACCAGATCTCAGGGCACAGAATTCAGCACCTAAATACACGGCACATCAGACCAACCCCCAACAAAAAGAGCTGTGGTTAAAAGAAGCTGTTTTGCAGGGCTGTCTTGTAACTACATCTATGGCTTCCCAAAATTTCTAGCAAGCTCAATTTTTATGCTCATATTATATAAAGTCCATCACAGAGAACGATTAAACTGTTTAAGTGAACTTGTAAATGAGACACTGGGGGTTACAGTATTATCCTTGCTTACACAATATTAGGAAAAGCCCCAATACATCAAAGGAGTGATTTTTCTAACAGTCTGTCCTGTGATCATGGGGTTCTCTACAACACAAACAGAACAGGGCAACCATGTAACTGCACAAGCCAATTCATCCACCAGCGCAAGGCAATGCTGGGGAATTGTAAAACCACAGTGGGGTATGTAGATGAGAAAAAGGTGGAAATGACAGATTGTCCTGGCCATGGAGACCCGGGCCTGCAGGACTCTCCAGCTGTTTAAAAACATTTCTGAGAGTTGGGGATGTGGCTCAGTGGTAAAGTCTCTACTTACCTGGCATACTCAAGACTCGGAGTTCAATTCCCAGCTACACACACACACACACACACACACACACACACACACCGTGAACGTGAACCTCTACAATGCTGTGAACTCTAACCAAGCACAGTCTACAAATCCGGGTGCCACACAGTCTGAAGTAAGTATAGTTCCAGTGACATGCTTCGGGAACTCCCCCAGACAAGAGTCAGGTAGAACTGTGGATCCTAAGGGCTGTTCCCCTACCTTTGTGGCTTAGTTTAAACTCTATGTTTTTATAACAAAATAGTCTGTGATCAGGAGCCACACAGATGCATGACATGCACGCACATTAAATGCGAAAGTATGAAAGTATCTGTGACACATGAATATGTTTACATACAACAGAAATAAGGAGTTTTTATTAAATGAAGAGTTTTCTAACATACCATTAACTGCTTACGTTTTGCTCAAGTTTTACTGGTGAGAATCCAAGGGGCTTTGTTAGGCAGGGGCCTGGGGCCCTAAGAAAACAGCCACTCAAAGCAAAGTGTATCAGCAACACACAGCATTTTATTTCCGCACAGCCGCTTTAGCACTAGCAGGCAAGCACACCTAAGCTTCACTCTGGCGTCCAGAGTCTGTGTCACATCCTCCTGCTGGCTAGCTCTAAG